CTCATAAGGGTTGAACGATATTTTCAGACAATGTTTTTGTATGTACTGTTAATAATAAGGTGAAATAATATTTACAGATACAAATATAAAAAATATATTTCATATACGTAATGTATCCTATTCTAAATTCAACGATTTTAATAGTTTACCCGTTGGTTTACACATATTATTTATTCAGCATCGTTGGTTTGATTTGTTTCAACAATTTAAATTCAATAATTTTTTATATTATTTTAATATGACTTGAACTTTCTAGACACGTGTATTGATGTTCCAATTTAGATTCAACTGGATTAGTGAACTTGTACGATATCGATAACTCCTGACGACGCTGTAATGCGAAATATTGAGCTAATAAAGTTACATTCTGGAGATATAGGTGGTTATTTTATTTACGTTTATTAAAATGTCTCGTAATTAACTCCAGTTTGCGTTAAACAAAGTTAAGTATAATAAGTCTAAATCTCTAAGCCTAAAGCTAAACAATATTGGTAGATACTCGAATTTAAAAATTGAATCTGCATATTATATTTATTTTATTTTAAATCCCTGTCATCACCTGGGTTACATTAAATTTAATGTCTAGGCATTCTAATATCGTCACACTGACAGAAAATTCAAAGAAGCTCTTCTCATTGAACAACTACGATCAGAGATATAAAGGGACAAAATATTGCGCCTATAATTTAAATTATTTTATTATATTATTTTTTAACCTATCTTTGTGTTATTTCCCTATCTAATCTTGATAGAACTTTTGTTTACTACAGGTCGCGTTTAATTATTTCAACTATAAGTTTTACTACGTAATATGTCAAACGCACGCTGTACAAATGCACGTTATACATGTAGATTCGAATAAAATTTATTATTTTAAACCATTTGAACTGTCAGTTTTGGTTTGTGTTTTAGTGAACGCTCCTGAAGAAGCTGTAAAGCCAAACGGTGTTGTTTGTAATGTGGATTCAGAAGACGATGTAATCAATTCAAGTAGCTCTAGTGAAAATAACAGCATGGATGATGCTGAAAACAGATTCAGTAATCCAGAGCTATGCAGAAAAAATTCTTGATCAAAATGTTCATTCAGATCCAGGTATGCTTTTCAATGTTGTCCAAGAATAACCAGGACCAACTATGCATAACTATCTTGGAAACATTAAATCTGTTTACTAGTCTGGGCATGAAATGTGATGTTGTTGAACAAACCACTGGGAATGGATTCAAAAATAAGGAGAAAGGTGGAAAACACTTGATATTGTTGAATTTAATGCTTCATTGGATTTAACATCCCGACAGGAAAATATGAGTTTCAAACTTCAAGTGAAAAAGAATGAAATGATAAACTTGCTGCTTTCAGATACATCTGGTATCAGTTCACCAAAAACTGTAAGAAAAACTCCTTAGAATTCCTCACAATTAGTACCTTTTAGAAGGAGCTGTCAATTTCAAGTGTATATGTGCCTTCTAAGCCAGCTAAGTACAGTACCAAAATTTGGGCTTTTAGTGAATCATGGTAGTTGTTTAATGCACAGATGTAACATGTAAAACAAGGTGGCCAGCAGGATATTCAAGAGACTCTAGAGTTGTAAAATAACTCTTTGCTCCATATGAAAGTTCTGCAAGAACGTTCACCAATTTAGAAAAAAAAAGGGGGGTTATTTGTAGTTTTTGTCTTAAAAAGGGGAAACAACTATTATTTAATATGTTCCTAAGAAAAATAAGGCAATTATCTTATCAACCATACAGTCCAATGACAGTATCAATGTTGATGAATAACAACAATGAAAAACAAACATCATCATCATCATGTTCTGCAATGTAACAGATGGGTCAGTTGATATCCTGGATTAAACAGTTGGAAAATACAACTGTTAATATAAAATTCTGGCACCTGGTCCTTTTTTTGACCCAACAGCAGAAAATTCATTTCTCTTGTATCTCTTTTTTTTATCTTAATCCGAATAAGTCAATAACTACTGATCAATGAAAGTTGTTTCTTAGTACTCTTGGGCAAACACTAACTGATGAGCAAATAGCAATAGGATCTACACAACCACAGATAAACAGGCAGCCAATAATAAAACATTTGATAAAATTAGTTAGGAGTCACAATACAAAATCCACTCCAGGGTCATGAGAATAATGCCATGTGTGTTCAATAATAAAGGACAAGAAAATTTAAGTGTGATGCTATGCATGCACACAACATATATCACATAATTTGCATAAGCTAATGGCATAAAAATTCTAGGGCTTTCAAGACCTAATTTACTGATTTTAACAAAACAGAAGGTTAACTCCACCAAAACGAAATAGCTTGTGTTTTATTATATTTTATAAAAATGCAGTAGCAGCTGCATAAAACTTTTAGGAATAACATATAAGGTGCAATGCAAACAAAAATGTTAACTTCTCTCCCCGATTTTTGTGCATACTTTGCATCGTGTACAGTAAATATTCTGCAGTTGTTCTAGTAGCCAGTTAGCATACATTTTGATATCCAGAAATGTTGCATCTATACTTCACTGGTATACAGTAGCCTCTTTTATACAGAAATATTTTAAGTCTGTCTATGAAATGAGCCTGTTAAAAGAAATTTTAAATGAGTGCTAAAAAAACAATAACAAAATATTCATCCTTTACAGTCCTCCAAGTATGCTTCATTATTTCCCAACTTTAGTTTAATGACAGTACTATATTTGGTTGTAGTATTAGGGCAAATAAGAAATCAGATAAATCACATTACTGTCTACCTGCTTTAATTAAACATTAAGACAAACAAACAGTGGTTATCTTGCACTTTCTTCCCAAGTACTGTACTTTAGCTGTAGCAAAACAATCCTCTAGCATATAACCAAAACCACAAAATAGTTATTAAACACATCATTTCAACTTGCCAATAAAACAAGTCAACTTGTATATGGTTGGCTGCTAAACCTACATCACAACATGTCATCATGCCGAGATTCACACTCATACTTTTACCACTCTAACTCTGTTGCATATCTCTTGGTTTTCCCACACAATTGCACTCAACATCATCACATCATGTTTTGCCATGTTGGAATACAATTTAAAGTGTGGAGGAAGACAAAAGCTTGGGAACAGCATTGTTATGACAGCGGACGTCACGTGACGCTGGTAACACGTAATGAGTTCTAGAAAGATCGGGGAATATCCCGATTTATCCAGTATTTGCTAGGCACCCTCTATTCTTGTATATAAATGCACCAGACAATGAATCGGGATAGAATTGCAGACAGGCAGAGATAAAGACAGACAATTGAGTCAAGCGTGGTAGTAAGTAAAGTGCATGAATCGTTCGTTGTGAAGTATAGCGTGTGTTCAAGTTAAAGTAACTGTGGAAATTAAGTGTATTGCAAAGTTGTATTGAGAAAGAATAAACTAGTTTTATTTAAGAAAGGACTTATATCGCGTAAGTTTCTCGGAAAGAATTTCTACGAGAAATTAACAAACGAACAGAGACTTAACAGTATGGTTAATTTTTGTGCTATATTTGGTTGTAGTATTACGGCAAATAGGGAATTATATAAATCACACTACTGTTTACCTGCTTTAATTAACATCAAGATAAAAAAACATAGTGGTTATAAGAAAAATGAATAAATAACTAGTTAAGCAATATAAACCATGCTGAGTTGACTTATTCAATACATCAATTCACTCAAATTTGCTCGAACCTCTTCTTTTCTGGTTAGTGATCCAATTTTAATTTGACAGCTTTCCATAGTTCATTTGTGTAAACTTATAGTTACTTTATACATATATATACGTACATATTTCTACATCTCCAAAAAAAAAAAAAAAACACTTAAGAAGTAAACATTACACTGCACGTGTTAGACCTTAACAGCAAAAAGTACTATCTTAACAGCACTGACTAATGTTGACACACTCTGAGGTATTTAGTCCTGTTTTAATGTTTAACTTTATAAGAATATTAAGTAAAACTATTAATACGTGTACAGGCCAACTTGCTTTTTTGTTCTTCATAAAAGATCTATCCAATAATTTTTAAATTAATAAAATGAAATACACCATTTATAGCTTTATTTATTACTCTGTGAATAAAGTACACAATTTTGTGATTTTATAAATATTAGAATATAAATGTAAAAATTTTGTTTATAAAAAATATTTTTCTACACATTTTTTTTGAAACAATTCAGTACTGAATAGTGACATTCCTTTTGTGTTTTGACTTGGTACATGAATTTTAAAATAATCTTCTTTACACAAAATATTTTGAATTTTTTAAGTTACATTTAAATAACTAAGATGAACATAATGGTATGGTTTGTCAACAATAAAAATGGAGAATGTGGGATCAATGGGGTCAGACTTCCAAGGATTTTTCCAGGACCTCCCAATAAAGCAATTGATTTTCAAGGATTTTCATGAACTGTGTGAACCCCGATATAATGAAACTTTAGAAGTGAATAATTTGATGACATTTAAAAGCAATTGCTTTTGTCCTAAATAAAAGAAATGAGACAAAATGCTTGGTTTTTATACAGAAAATGAAGATCAGTCTATCATTTCATTCACCATACGTCACCGAGATTTACTGGTTTCAGGGAATTTCACCCCTCATCAATAACCCTGAACAAAGACAAATCAAAATAACAGGATTAACCCTCTTATAGTGGTGAACTGTATATAATATGCATGGTGTCTTTAGTTGTGTTTTACTCACCACAGGGAACCTATATTTATATAACATCTGAATAATATGTAACATTAATACTACTAATTTAGTTTGAATTACGCAGCAAATAAGGTGTTTAATATACTAAAAATAAGAATACTAAAAAGTAGTTCTGTGTAAGATGTCTAAGTACACCAGGAGATGTAGTGCAATTAGTTTTACTAACTAAAATAACTAAAACATAATGTTCATGTTAGAGTTGTAGTCAAATTAGTGTGTGTTTTACATTCTGTGTAAAATCATAATAAATGTACATAGATACTTGTCAACACAAATTTAATAATCCTTTTATTTCAACAAAATTTGGTGTATGGTAAAACAACTGCGATGGAAGAAATTCATCAAAAACAGAAATAATAAAAAAATGTTTAAACAACACAGTGATCATATACTTGTTTTATTCTGAGAACTTAATCCTATGGTGATTTTCTAAACAAATCATTAGCTAATACCCACAAGTTTTGTAGGGTGCTCATACATAAATCCTTAAATGTTGAGTAAAAACCTAAACTAATATTTATAACAGGATTATACAGCTAACCTAATGTTTACAATGCTCTGTTAATGGTACTCTAACTTAAAATCTATTAGTGTCATACAAAATGTGTAAACTAAAACATAAAATAGTTCTATAAAAAAAAGCTTAAATTAACTTTATGACAGTTTTGTAGATAAAGTATATTTCTAGTAATTACCAGCATGAGAGATAATCTATAGTCCAATTGATTAACTATAACAATCTTGTAGAAATAACAGAATAATCTTTAATAATTATACAGAGAAATATTACTAATGAGTACAAATAAGTATGAAAAAATATATATATTTAAAACTACATGTTTAAACACCTACAAATGTGATGTATTTCCTAGGTTACAGATTCCACTGTTAACCTTTTTTTACATGGCCAATATAAATGTCAACCATAACCTATAATATTGAATACAATGGTACCTTTTGTTAAATATATCAACACCAGTATAAACCCTATTTCTTAGAATAATGAAAATTTAAATTTTAAATGACTGACACTAATAATAACTAAGTTCCTAAATTGTTGAACATGTTTTCTGCTTTACTAAGTGTTAGCCATTTATTGCTGGTTAAAAAAAAAAGTATTCATTTTTAAAAGTATACTGTTTCTAACCAGTGCAAATTAAAATTAGAATTTCAAAAAACTGTTCCAGAGTAGTAATGATAACTTATGAATACAATCCTTGATAACATTTATCACTACGTATAAGTGACAAACATTTTTATTAGATTTAGATTACTCTGAAGCTGCTGGATAAATCAAATACAGCAGATAAAGAAAAAATTTTACACTTTGTGGTAAAAGCAAGAAACTTGGGTCAGAGGTACATCATGCCAAAGAATGTAAATTTAGATACAGTGCCATCCCAGATATTACCTGTGGTGGCCTTACTGGCCATTTTTTAAAATGGCAAACTTTCTCAGAATAATACATCATATCACATCTTGGAAATTAAGAGGCCTAGAACCCTCATTTAGGTGTTTACACAGGTTTTTGGGCCATTGAGTTCAGAAAAAGCATTGCTGAGTGTGCCAGGCAACTGATCTATCATTTTTAAAGATGATGGCCTACTATTACCATCTAACTTGACATATTGTGTATTCTGTTTTGTGTACTGTATTATGTATTTCATGTATTGTATAACCTCCTTTCTAATAAGCATAAAATGTGTGGGAAACAAAAGTGAAACTTGTTAATCCGAAAACACAACCAGCTTCTGCAGTCAAACAAACAAATTAGTCAAAGTGTGTCCTTTGTCAAGAAGACAACAGTGGGAAACTTTGCTGTCCAACTGTATCACAACATGGTAATGTTGGTGTAGGATATATCAGTCTTGTAGAGGAGTTGAATGCTTTTAGCACCACTGGTTGCCTACCCAAAATGCTTCACACATTTGAAGCTAAATGATGGAAATAGCATAAAAGCCACATTGCAACAGCATTCAGCAAAGTTCCACACTACATGCTTCTGTATAGCAAAACCAGATTTCACTTAGCTGTGAAAAGTTCCAACTCTGCCAAAAAGCAAGCACATGGTAAACACCCCCAACAGCAGAACATTACCAAAAGCCTTGTGTGCTTGTTTTGTTATAAACCTGCTAGTCCGTCTGAGCTATTGCATAAGGCAATGGCAAAACTAATCGATGAGAGAGTCAAGAGACATGCAACAAACCTGCTTGATGAGTGGCCCTTAGCAAAGTATATTAATCCATCAATTGAACATATCTTAAAACTCAGTATTTTGTCTCATTACAACAACTTCAACTTTGGGCACCAATAGTGGGAAGCTACATCACCAGCACCATCATTTAAAGCATGTGAACCACAAATTTGGGATCAATCTACATGCAACTCTGAGAAGATTGCTTCTGGGGAGCAGGATATGATGAGTCAAGGAGTGCATGATGTCAGAGATATCAACGACATTAGTGTAAAAGTTGACTATTATTTAATTACAAAAAGTTCAGCATTTCAAGGCACATTTTACACCAGTTGCAAATTATAACTTTTTCACTCAAATAGTCACCAAGGAAAAAGAGGCAAAGTCAAAGAAGTTAACCTTTCAGGCATCCTGGCTAGACAAGTACAAGTGGCTTTTATACAGTAATGTAATCTCAGGTGGATTTTGTAAATATTATTTTACCACCTAAGGATTCTCAAAGCAACAAGTGGATTTTGTAAATATTGTATTATTTTACCACCTAAGGATTCTCAAATCAACAAAACAGAAATCCTTTTGGTGTAACCATTCACAAATTTGAGCAATGTCAGTGGCATACTAGAGAAACATCAACAATTACAGTACCATAAGGATGCTGTTGAAGTGGGTGTGACACTGTGCCAGGCTCAAGAAAATCTGACAAAGACAATGCTCTACACGAGTTCAATGATGAAATGGGATCTGTATGAGAAAAAATTTACACAATCTTTTGTGGTAAACAAAATATCCCCTTGCAACATCATAGAGATAATTATGCTTCAAAATCGATAAACAAAGGGAATCTCATAAGTTGTTAGATCTGATAGATAAAGGTGATAGTATGCTTCACGAGCACCTTTTAAATGCCAAGAAGAATGCTACATACAGTGCAGAATGAAATCATACAGATTATTGGAGATCACATTAAATTTGCTCTGACATTGCCTCTAAGAAATGAAAACACTGCATATTCATTATTACAGATGAGTTTACAGACAAGTACGCCAACAAAGAGATTTTATGGATATGTCTGAGATTTGTGGATCTGGCAAAACCTGAAATCAACAAGATCTTTGATTTCATTTATTTGGAGCATGCAACAGGAAGAGCCATTGCAAATGCCATTGTATCTATGTTGCAAGTTTATAACGGAGCTAGTGCAATGTCATCATAACAGATGAGGGTTTGGGCCAGAATCAAGGCTTTAGTTCCAACAGCACTCTATACTCATTACAACAGCCACATATTGAATCTTTGCATTGCATTATCTTGTAAAATTCCCATAACCAGAATTATGGTGGACCTTCTCCATGAAATCTACCTGTTCTTTGATCTCTCCCCAAAGAGACAAAGGATCCTTGAAAGGGTACTGGAAGAGAGGGGATCTGAATTTCACAAAACGAAACTCAAGGGTCTATCTATGCAAGACTCATTGGGTTGAACAGCACACTTGCTTTGGTATGTTCCAGAAACTGTTTCCCTCCATTGTTGATACTTTCAAATTCATTATCAATCCAAATGCTCTGATCAGTGGCTACAGAAGAAAAGAGACAGACGACGTTGATAGATGATGATAAACAGGCATTAGAAAAATGGTCTTGGGGCCGAGAAACCAGAGTCAGAGTTCAACATCTCCCCACAAGCATGAAGTCAGCAAAAAATACTGTCAATGTGGCATCTCATGTCTTTCACCTTTGTTATTACATCATCAATCAGTTCATATGCCTGATAGATGTCATGACTACACTTTTGCAAATTTGTGATCTGGAATGCCATAAAAGAGTTTGCTTTGTGGTACACTGCAAGTGAATCATTGAGTGATGATGTAGGCATTGAGATCATCAATGTAGAAGGTTACTTGTAAACAACAGCACAGACCAAATGCTGACTCAACCACAAGTGAAGAGCACTACAAAATAAATGTTGCAATTATCTTCCTGGATCACATTCTCTCAAAACTAAAATCCAGGATCAATGACATCAGACCAGACCAGGCAATATTCTCCCTCTTACCATGCAATATCAAAGATGTAATGTAGAGAAGACTTCAGAAGAAATGAAGTTCTGGATAGCAGATCTTCCTACACCTTGTTCTCTCACATCAGAACTAAAGAAATGGACTGCAAACTGGAAGGAAAGACTTGGTCATTTAATATAAAAAAAGTAAAATAATTTATCATTATATATATATGAAAAGGAAGGAAAGATTCTTG